ATTCACAACATCGTCAATACCTACTTTGAAAATCTTTACTCTCATAGAAAGGAAAACAGAGGAAATGGACAGATTTCTAGATGCTACAAATTACCAAAGCTGAATGAAGAATATATAAACATGGTGAATAACTCAGTATCAGCAAGTGAAATTGAAAATGTAATAACAAACTTGCCAATGAAGAAAAGCCCAGGTCCTGATGGATTCACCACTGAATTATACAAGAAATTTAGAGAATATTTAACGCCGATTCTTCTCAAACTCCATAATGAAATTGAAAGGGAAGAATTCTCCCCAGCTCATTTCTAGAGGCAAGTATTATCTTGATACCAAAACCAGAGAAAGACCCAACCAAAAAAGAGAACTACAGATCAGTCTCCCTGATGAATATAGACACAAAAATTCTGAGCAAAACACTAGCAAACAGAATGCAACAAATCATCAAGAAGATTATACACCCTGACCAAGTAGGACTCAGCCCAACAATGCAGAGATGGTTCAATATATGCAAATCAATTGATGTAATACACCATATCAATAGAGCCAAAGAGGAAAATCACATGACCATCTCAAAGAAAAAGCTTTTGATAAAGTCCAGTACTCATTCATGATAAAAACCGTACAGAAAATAGGAATAGGTGATCCTTACTGTGCTCTGATAAGAGCCATCTATGACAGACTGGTGGCCAACATCATACTAAATGAACAAAATTTAAATCTTTCACTTTAAAATCTGGAACAAGACAAGGATGTCCACTGTTATCACTCCTATTCAATATAATTCTGGAAATATTAGCTAGAGCAATTAGACAAGAGAGAAATAAAAGGAATAAGGATAGGAAAGGAAGACATGAAATTATCATTATTCATAGGTGACATGTTACCATATAGAAGACCCCAAAACTCCACCAAAAGGCTTACAGATTTAATAATCAAATTTAGTAGGGTAGCTGGATACTAATTCAGCACTCAAAAATCAATGGCATTCCTGTACACAAACAACAAACATACTAAGACAGAAATTAGGGAAACCACACTTTTCACAATAGCATCTAAAACATTGAAATACCTAAGAATCAACCTAACAAAAGAAGTTAAACATCTATAAAGTGAAAATTACAGTACTCTGAAAAAAGAAAGAAGATTTCACAAAATGGAAAGATATTCCTTGCTCATGGATAGGAAGAACCAACCTTGTGAAAATGGCATACTCACAAAATTGTTATACAGATTCAATGCAGTGCCAATCAAAATACTGTTAGTATACCTCACAGATCTAAAGAAAACATTCCTAATATTCATCTGGAACCATAAGAAACCCAGAATAGCAAAAGCAATCCTGGGCAACAAAGGAAAGGCAGGAAGCATCACAATTCCTGACTTGAAATTATATTATAAAGCTATTGTAATAAAATCAGCATGGTACTGGCATAAAACAGACCTGAAGATCAATGGAACAGATTAGAAGATGCAGACAGAACTACAAACACACTCAGACACCTTATCTTTGACAAAGGAGGCAAACATGTTCACTAGAAGAAAGATAGCCCCTTTAACAAATGGTGCTGGAAAAACTGATTTTTTACCTGCCAAAGACTAAAGTTAAACCCATGTCTATCACCATGCACTAAACTAAAATCAAAATGGGTCAAAAATCTAAATATTAAAACAGAAACGCTAGATCTAGTGGAAGAGAAAGTAGGTAAAAATCTTGAAGACATAGGAGTAGGCAGAGAGTTCATGAACAGAAACCAAACTGTACAGCATATACTTCAAAGAATCAACAGCTGGGATCTCATCTTATTGAATGTTTTTGCACATGAAAAGAAATCACCAACAGTGTAAAAAGAAAACCCAGGAGTTGGGGAAAAAAATTTAGCCAAATGCCCCTCAGACAAAGGACTTCTGTCTGGAACATATAAAGAAATGAAAAAAATCAGATTCCCAAAATTGAAAGACCCAATCCAAAAATGGGCATCTGTGATGAATACACACTCCTCTGATGAAGAAATACTAATGGTGAATAAATACATGAAAAAATGTTCAACATCATTAGTCATTCGAGAAATGCAAATTAAAACAGCACTGCAATTCCATCTCATCCCAGAGAGAGTGGCTATCATTAAGAAATCCACCAATAAGAAGTACTAGAGAGGCTGTGGGGAAAAAGAACCGTACTCTGCTGGTGGGAGTGTAGATCAGTGAAACCACTGTGGAAATCAGGTTGGAGATTCCTCACAAAACTAGGATTAGAAGTCCCATTTAACCCAGCTATTCCCCTTCTGGGTATTTTCCCAGAAGAATTAAAAACATCATACCACAGTGATATATGTACACCCACGTTAATAGCAGCACAATTTGTTATAGCTAAATCTTGGAAACAACCCAAATGCCCATCCACTGAGGAATGGATAAAAAAAAAATGTGGCACTTTTATACAATGCAGTATTACTCAGCTATAAAAAAAGATAACACTCAAGGCTTTTATAGGTAAATGGAGACAACTAGAGACCATACTTGTAAGTGAAATAAGTCAGACCCACGTGTAAACATCGTATTGTCTCACTAGTGTAAGAACCTGAAAGAGTAAATAAATCCCAAAATATACAATAGATAATATGAAAGGGAAAGAAATTGCTCAAAGGAGGGAACAACTGGGATGAGGGAAAGAAGAAAAGGAAAAGAAGGCAAAAAAGATAATTAATCTAAAAATATATATATGTAAGGATAGCTGGGGTAACTACTGCTGATGTCTGGTGGTTCTCTGAAAGGAACAGTTAGTGCTTAATTTTTTTTTTAATTTTAACCAATTTTGCAAGCTTATATCTGGTAATCTGAGCAACTGATTTGAAGACAGCAGTATGCTATATAACAACCATTGGTGAATCCCTGCCATCTTGTCTAGTGAAAGTCTGTATAATCTTTAATGTTTTTTAATTATTATTTTTTATTCCCTTTAATGGTTTGATGAATCTTGCACTTACATCTGGTGATCTGAGCAACTTCCCTGAAGATCACAATATGTAATATAACGACCACTGTTAATCCCTATCATTTGATTTGAAACCCTGTACCATTTTTAATTTTTTTGTTTTGTTTTTGTCTGTGATGTGGGTATTTTGCTATTCTTTTTTTACTACTCTTTTCTAAATAAAAAGAAAATAAAGCACAGAGTTGAAAATAAATGCATTTCATATGAAAACTGTGGCAGGTCCCTGCCCTGATACCTTAATCAGATAAGTTTTTCAGGCCCTTGGGTATCTATAAATTAATTCACTTGTTGATTACAATTCAGTTAGAGTTGTCTGTCAGGACAGTGCTCCTGAGTGTTGAGTGTTCAGAGATGAAAGAATCCTGGTTTTTGTTGTTGAAGAGTTCATGGTGGATAAGGGTTAATGATATAAAACAAATAAATAGTGCTTCAAAATGATACCATTCTGTGAGCACTTTGTAGAACACAGTGCTGCAGCTCCCCTAACATGTCAGTATTCAAAGAAGGATTAAGAGTCATAGTTTAGCTGGTTTTTGACAACAGCATAGCGTTTTCTATATTTCATGGATAGGGGGCAGGTAGAAGATATTGGATAGAGGATATTGTTTTGTGAAGGAGTCATAGAACAGCTAGTTTGTAAGACAAAAAGTGGGATTTCAGTTGGCCTAGAGTTTGAAAATAATAATAAAGTGTAAATTGTGAAGACTCTTCTGTACCAGGCAGGATGCTACAGTAATTTAAAGTTTGGCTCTGTGCTTGGACTGCTTGGGCTAGAATCTCATTTCCATCACTGTTTCCTTGCTCTTGGACAAAACTTATCTCTGCGATGTAGTTTCTTCTCTTTAAAGTCAAGAGCATGCTAGAACTTTATTATAGGATTTCTGTGATGATTAGAGGATGTCTGTTTTAAAGCCTGACGAGCCTGACTTATCTGAAGTATACAGTGCTATCAGCTGCTGTGTTTTGTTTTTAAATCAAAGATAAAGAGTTTAATTTTTGAATATAAGTTACAGGATCTAACAATATAAAAGACTGCAGGAGTATAAAAACAGGAAAACTAAGGAAAAAAATTCACAATAATAATAAAGGAATGACATAGGAATGTATTGCAAGTGAAGGTCTTAGGAAAATATCTTGTGTCTCATTTGGCCCTCTGAGTGTTTCACACCAGCACTGTAGCTCTTTAAGGAGCAGATGTCCTTTCAAGTATTATTTTTTTCAGTGATTTTAACTAACAAATGACCATAGTAAACTGACCAATCTGCATTACAAAATAATGTTCTTATCTCTGCTATTATAAAATTTTGAATGTTTATAACAGTCCTATCATATATTTTGAAAATTATGTTCCAGATTATAAGGCCCCAGAATAGTTGTCCCTTTGTGTATGTTCACTGACCTAAGAGTACTTTTTTGCTTTCATTTTTATTCTTAGGGCATCTCAATTGTGATGAAGGGATAATATCAAGTTAAGATGTCAGTCAGTTTAATGTAAAGATGAGCAGAAAATTAAAAGATTTATTGATTTGAAATTACTTTGACCTTGGCATTATGTTGGTGTTTTATTAAACAAAATTAGAATTAGCATTAACTGTGAGAGAAAAACTTCTAGAAGTGGAACATTGCAGCCCTTACCAGTAATTGTTGTTCAGGTAAATATTTGACTTTACAGATTAATTCACTCTGTGTGAAATTGAGCTGGACAGATATATTTGAAACAGTCATGATGTTAGGACTGACCAGTTCGTGGCTTACTGGTGTAAGATGATATCGATGCCTTCATGACAGAAGACTATAAGATGTAAGAGACTGTCCTAACAGTGTAAGAAATCAAACCAATCTGATTATTGCTCAGGAGCTAATTATGTAGTTTCAATGTCAAATTAAGTAAACATGCCTTCATCAACTTTTAGTGGATACCCAGCCCTTTCTAATTTACAAATTTTATTTAACTGTGATTCTACTGAATATTACTGATTGAGTTGACATCTTTAAAATTTCTCTTCAGTTCCCCAGGTTCTTCAGAGCTGCACAGCATTCATTGAGAGGTATGGCATTGTGGATGGAATATATCGTCTCTCTGGAGTTGCCTCCAATATCCAGAGACTACGGTAAAATCTTCTGAGGCATTTTCTATTTTATCCTATTTAGCTTATTAAAGTGAAATTGTTTCAAAATTGACTAACTTACTTTGATGACCTAATTTTCAATAAGATAGTTAAGATAAAATAGAAAACAATATCCATACTGTTCTTCCTGTTCCTAAGTGACATTTGTACCTATGCGGTAAAAGGGAACTATGCACCTTAACTTCTTCAATACTTCTGTTTTATCTCTTTAAAATGTTTGAAGATTGTAGCAAAATGATAGATAAAATTTACATTATAATAGATTTACTTTTTGGTTCTTAACTAAAATCAATAGGAGTGAAACCTCTTCTAAAACCTCCCTTGACCCTAATTCTGTTTTGTGTACCTAAGTGTGCAAGGACCTGTTATTCCACATCCCTTCTGTGAGACAAAAAAATGATGGTATTCTCCTTACCAACAATAGAAATTTTATTTTTTGCTTAATCTCCTGGATTCTAGTCTGAGCTTAATATGCTATTATCATTTCTTTTTTCACTGTAATGCATAGTAACTACTGTTATTCTATAAGAATTTTAATGTTTTAATTGACCACAGTGCTCACCTTTCTTTTCAGAAATACATGTTTAGAAAATACTGTTTTTTTTGTTTAAGCCCAAGATCTTGTGCATGGCAGGCAAGTGCCCTACCATAGAAGTACATCCCAGCCCTTAAGTTGGTTCTTACACTAAAGACAGTTTCAGACTTAGTAAAGCAGATGTTCACATTATCCACACACATTAATCCTCTAGAAATGATAAATGACCTCATGACTGCGGATTAATATTAATCTGTCTCCTGGAGAATGAACCTAATCTGCGTTAGTATTCTGGATCCTTATATTTCATTATATATTCTAATGCTATGGAATCTAATCTAATCTAATCTAATGCTAGGATTATGTATTCTAATGCTACAGATTTTGCTATTAAAATTTAGCATTAGTGAGAGATTCCTCTATATTGTTTCTGGCTTTCTTGTTCTGCTTCAGTGTAACATTCCTGAACTGTACAAGTTGTATCTGAGGAATTTTTGTATATAGTTGTTCATGGACCAGTTGCTACTCAATGCTATTTCTTGCCAGTTGCCAGACTATTAGATATTCAAAACATTGGAAATTAGGTGTTTTATGTTCAAGCTGATGTGCTGTAAGAGCTGATTATTCATACACATTTTGGGATTTATTGTCCATTTAAAGCTGTGCCCTTAATTTTCATATAGATAGATACTTGCCTGATTATAAGCCATCCAATTACTGCTGAAATCCAAATATGATTTATATGAAATATAATTTGAAGAAACTCACAGCTGAGGTAAAGATAAATCCTTTGGGCTAGAGGTTATTTCCATTTTAATATTAAACCTGTGTCCTTAATTTCCATATAGATACTGAGTTAGTGATAATATATCAATTACTGGTGAAGTCCAAATAAAATTTGCATGAAATATAATTTGAATAAAACAGTAACTGATGTAGAGGTAAACACTTTGGGATGTTGCTTTCCAGTCATGTTTGCTTCCCTTCGATAAATTTTGTTCTGTCCTCTTCTGTCTGGAATAGCCATGAATTTGACTCTGAACACGTCCCCGACCTGACAAAAGAACCATATGTGCAAGACATTCATTCCGTGGGCTCCCTCTGTAAGCTGTATTTCCGAGAGCTCCCAAACCCTCTGCTCACCTACCAGCTGTATGAGAAATTTTCTGTGAGTATTTGTTACTTTTGACTCAGGGTCTCCTGTGGAGTTTCTCCATGTTAGCAGTTACAATCGTGCTTTTTTACAATTAGCATTGAGGAAATTAAGCATTCACATCTTGTGAGAACAAAGAGCATGTCTAGATGCTGTGTTGTATTTCCTCTTCATTTAGCATTAGAGAGAAAAGTGGGTTAATCTCAGAGTGAAAACTGAATTTTAAGTGAGAAACTCATTTTTACCAACAAGCCTGCTGGTTTCTTTTATGTTATGACTGTTACAGGATGCTGTTTCAGCAGCAACAGATGAAGAACGGCTGATAAAAATTCATGATGTCATCCAGCAGCTCCCCCCGCCGCACTACAGGTAAATCACACATTGGTGAACAGCAGCCAGGGCAGCGGTCAGCCCTCGTGTGCATGTGTTTTCTCTTTGGGTTTCAGGTTACTTACACTTCTGTGAAGTTCTAGCTAGTTAAATCCCATCTTTTCCAGAATGAATTTTATTCATACTTATATTTGTTTTTGGTTTGGGTTTTGGTTTTTTTCCGGTACTGGGAATCAAACTCATGACCTCTTACTTGCCAGGTAGGCACTGTGCTGCTGAGCTAAATCCCTAGCCCCTCATACATATATTTGTATCTGTTTGTTTTTATATACCCAGGCCCTGGCCCAGTACTTAATGTCCAGTAGGTAAATGTTGAATGAATGTATGAATGAATGAACAAATGAATGGCCAGCTAAACTTGGGGTTTTGTTTGTGTTGTGTTTTAGGATTTGTTGTTTATTGGTTTTGTTGTTGCTGCTTTTGTTTTGTGTTTTGGTGGTGCAGGGGATTGATCCCAGGCTCATGCATGCTAAGCAAACGCTCTACCCCTGAGCCTCATTCGCTTGGTGCTACTTTTTAAAATACATGTTGATTTGTATGCTAGTTTGGACTTTCAGAAATAATTTTGTTTATGTCTGAAAAGGTCAGAATAAAAGAGGATGACTGCTATTTAGTGAGACAAAGAAAACAGTAGAAACCATGGATTATAATATACAAAAAAGCAAGAAACATTTAAAAAAAATTTAATAAGAAATTAAATTCAACAGTAATTTAATGCTTAATTTAATGTTTTTGAAAATAACATTGCTATATATATTTAAATCAGCACTATATTCAGCACTAAATAAAACTCTAATATTTTGATCAACACTAACGTCAGCACTTTTTTAATCAGCACTCTAGATATAAATGCATAGTAGTCTTGAACTGAAAGATAACATCAGCTCACTGTCCCATTAACATAGCCTCTCAGGAGGAATGTGATGAATTTAAAGGAGTTTAAGGACCCAACAAAGAGTGAAAAAGAAAAACTCAAAGAAAAATTAGAAAGGCTTTTTGACATAAGCTCATAGAAATTAAGGACTGTAGCCCTGAAAAGGAAGGCCCTTAAGACAAATCTGATCAGTAACAATTATTCAAAGTGTATCTTATGGGAGAAGAGGACATTATCTACTTACCAATGAAAGAAACACAGTATAATCTGAAGAATATTGCCTTTGACAGATAGAACTGGCTGTGTATTTCCAAGTCTGTCTCATACTCCTCAAGTCTCTAAGCTTCATTTTCCATGTCTGTGAGCAGAATACTGACAATACTTTCTGAAGAGGACTTTTTTTTAAAATGATAAAATGAGACAATGAGGCTGGTCCTTATTTTTTTAAAATAAAGCATAGCAAGACAGAGGAGTAGATTTAATAATGGCCTTGGTAATTTTATTCATTCATTTTGTGGGGTAGAGATCAAAGCCAGGACTTTAGGCATGCTACGTAAACTCTACCGTTGAGCTATACCTGCAGCTTTTGGCTTGGTGATGTTACATGAGGTATGATATGAATATGTCCTTTTTTTCTACATTAGAAATCCATATAACATATATACACAGTGTGAAAAGTCAAGTGGCATGCAAAGTTGATACTGAGACACTGCAGTCACTCTCCATTTCACATTTCTGTCTTCTAGAAGTCAGTGCACTCAACTCTTTCTTTTGGGATTGAGAACCCACCCATTTCTCATAGCACATTGGCATTGCTCCTTCTCAAGTTTTCATTTTTTGGTGTTGTTACCTTCTTCTCATAGTACGTGAGGATCTCTCATACTCTTTCCAGTACCCACAAACACACACTTCCTCTTCTCTCCTCTTAATAGTCCAGGTATATGAGCATTTACAGTTAAATATGTAGGGTCTACATTGTAATAACTGTGTAGCTGTTATTCACAGCTCTACCTAACGGTATATATTCTTTCAGGGACAACTTTGGTGCTTTCTGAGGAGCACTTGGCTTTTGTTTATCACTGAGTTTCTGTTGATTTCTAGTTTATTCCTAGGTCCTTTAACAAGACTTTTTACTGTTCTCGCACTATGTTCTCACATAGCAAGCAACATTTTCGTTTTTTCTTCCTGAAAAGTAACTTTTATAGTCTTTTGTCCCCCTTGCTTCAGTTTAGTCTGGTTATGCTTTTGATCTACAGTGAAGTGGTCAGTGTCACCCCGTACTTGCTCACTGAAAGTTCCTGTCACCTCCTCTGAGTTAAACTGTCTTTTCTGGATCTCCTGAATCTTCCCTGTTTTTATTCCCTGCTTTTGTAACATGCGTCTTTAATATCTTTTTGAGAAAGACAGGGGAGCTAAATTTTTTGAGACTTCGATGCCTGAAAATATTCCTATTCTATTCATGCCTTTGATTGTACAATCTTAGAATGTAAATAATTTTCCCCATAATTGTGATGGTATTACACCATTGTTGTCTACCCAAAAATGGTGCTCCTCAATCTGATTCCACTCTTTCTATGACATTTTGGTTATATTTTGTTTAGTTTTGTCTATTTAAAACATATCTTGTGGTGAGTTTTCATAGTCACATACCTTGCTGCTGTGGGTTCTTTTCATTCTTCATTATGGGGACTTGATGGGCTTTTTCCATCTGGAGACACATGATGTTCAGTTGTGGAAATTGTCTTGCTCTATCTCTTTGATGGGTCTCATTGCAGTTTAAACTCTTGATTCTCTTCCTGTAATTATTTTAACTACTGAACTCTCTTTCATTTTCTCATGTTCTCCTCGTCAGTTTCTTTCTTTTTTTTTTTGGTTTTTCTCCGATACCAGGAACTGAACTCACGACCTTGCGCTTGCCAGGCAGGCGCTTTGCCGCTGAGCTAAATCCCCAGCCCTCCTTGTCAGTTTCTACCCATGGATTTTTTCCAGACCCTCTGGGTTTTTAAAAATGATTTCCAAAGGCAGACCTCTTCCCTCTCTTCCTTGCATTTCTTACTATTCCTGTTTTATAACATGCAGTTCTTGTCCCACACAGAGTCTGTTTTCACTGAGAAAATAGTATTTGTATTTATACATTTTGTTCTACTTCAAATTGTTCTTTTTCCTCAGTGTTTATTTCTTTGTTTCTCATGTATTTACAACTTGCTTGCTTGCTTTGTTTACTTATTTATTTCTGTATTGAGCATTGAACCCATGGCCTTTGCACTGGGCTGCATCCCCAGACTTTTTAAAAATTTTGAGGCAGGATCCCCCTGAATTGTACAAGCCAGGCTTGAATTTAGGATGCTCCTACTTAGGCCTCCCAGAATGCTTGGATTATAGGCATGTACCACTGGGGGCATCTACTTTTTTTTTTTTTTTTTTCAAATTTACTTTTAACTTAGCAAAACATTCAACTGAGGTTTCATGAAAACTGAAAAGAAATCATAATAAATAAATATATATATGTGTATATATATTTGTAACATAATAGTTATTTCCTTTATTAATTATGCATAGAGAGAACTCCCTTGCTGTGTAGTCTTTCCTATTGCATATTATGTATTGCTGGGTGTGGTGGTGCACACCTGTAATCACAGCATTCAGGAGGCTGAGGCAGGAGGATTGTTGTGACTTTGAGACCACCCTGGGCTACAAAGTGAGCTCAAGCCCAGCCTGGACTGCATAGCGAGACCCTCTCTCAAAAAAAAAAAAAAAAAGAATATTATGTATCTTTCCTGCTACATATTATATATTGAACATATATGACTATACATTTTCATTTATACTGTATTAACCATTTAGTATGCAACCTTTTTACAATGTAAACTCCTTGATATTATTCTGTCTTATTTGTATTTTCAGAATACAGCCTAGAAAATAGTAAATGTTCAATTATATATCACATATGTTTATATATTTTATATACTATGTACCTAAGATTTTAATATTTACATTACTTAACTTATTAAATCTTATTGGAAGTGTGATTTTTAATGGTGTTCTCTCATGTTCCCCTAATTTTCATTTTTCACCTACATCTATGCTATAGGGTTTTTTATCCCAGATTTTGAATAATATTGTGAGGATCATCCTTTTACACAGTCTAGAATATTTTTTGGGTAAAGACCTGGTAGTTGAATTGTCAAAACCAAAAGATACATTTTTATTCTCAATATAGATTACCCAGAGTGTGCTCCCAGGAGGGTATGCTATTCCATGTTCGCCTGCTGAATATGAAGCACTCACTTCATGGAATTCTGACTAAATTCTACACTGACTTTCAAGAAATTTTTATAATTAGACAAATAAAATAGATACCTCTGGTTGTTTTAGTTTGCATTTCTTATAAAGTACATTTTTGAAGTTCTTTAATATCCCCCTTCTAATAATAAAATGGCACTGTCTTCTGAACATGTTTCTCAGGCTCCCTGCCTCCCGCATAGCACCTAGGAGAACTTCACTGTGTCTGTCTGTCAGTCTGTCTTTCCTATGTACCAGTGGGACAGACAATACCATTTTCCCTGCAGATCCACCACAGTAGATGCCACTGTAGGAGCAGGTACTTCAGAGCCAGGCCAATGTTGATTTATATCCCAGCCTGCTTACCACTGCTTGTCTATAACCACTGGCAGGCCTTGACTTTCCTTTCCTGTCAGGGATGGAAATACTGTGTGTAGTTCACCTACTGTGGAAATTCAATGAGGCTCCCCTTAAAAACATAGTGCTTAGGCTAGCTGCTGTCTTCTTTTTCCTCTCAAGTTCAGAGTAGGCCCATCTAAACCACTGTGGCTCACACGTAGACCACAATTCAACATTGTTTACTATTCCTTTTGTGTCTCTTATTTATTGTCCTTAGCAGTTTTAGGCCCTGTACAGTTAGGTAGGGACACTGAGACATGCGGCTGACAGGTAATGTACGTGTACTTGCAACTGGTTTAACTTACATTTAATATGATGATGTTTTATTTTCAAAAGCACTGCTCAGTTATTTAATCTTGGTATGGGTGGACTTGTTTAAATAAACCTATTTTGAATGGACAAGGTAAACTTATTACAATTTGAAATAGGCTCTTTATTTCAAAAATACATTGGTGGCTTCAATGCTTATTGGGATTTTCTTTTTAACCATTTCATAGGTTTGTGAAATACTAGTATTTTTTTCTTTTATAGAAGTATTTAAATCCTTTCTTCTTAGCTATCTGCTGCAAGTAAAATAGCATAACTTCCAAATAGCACTTGGTCCACAAACAAGCTTTTGTGGAGGACTCACTTCTAATATTTAAACTTAGGCAGCAAAAATATTTATGGGTTTGTATGGTCTCTTTTTTTGTTTTACTGTTGAAAACTTATAAGCCAATGAGTGGCCTTTATGTTCTACACTGTTGCAGAATGTATTTTTCTGCTAATATGTTGTGTTTCATTTTCCAGAACACTGGAGTTCCTCATGAGGCATTTGTCTCTCCTAGCAGACTATTGCTCCATCACAAATATGCATGCAAAAAACTTAGCAATCGTCTGGGCTCCAAACCTGCTCAGGTAGTTTGCATTTGACTTATGACCATCACTGGAACTAATTATTTTAGTTCTACTCTTTAGATCTAAAAATACTTAATTAATGTTCCATAATCCTTCTCTTAATTAGTCTCATCTCCTAAAACAGGCAAATGGGGCTTAGCTAAGGGACTGTAAAAGTATGATTTCTTCCTGATTTGCTTGTGATTTATACTTTTTTACAAAATACCTTTTAATAGTGCTTATTTTGTGACTGGGAATATTATTTTCCTCACAGATCAAAACAGATAGAGTCTGCCTGCTTCAGTGGAACTGCAGCTTTCATGGAAGTGAGAATTCAGTCTGTGGTTGTGGAGTTCATCCTCAATCATGTAGATGTGCTCTTCAGTGGCAAAATCAGTGCAGTCATGCAGGAAGGGGCAGGTACGACTCAGGCAGATTTTACTTGCTACAAACATGTTTCTCTATTTGTAAAGGAATAGAAAATTTTGCATTTCTCATCTCAATTTAAAAAAATATGTCATTGGTATAAGTTGGCAATTTATGTCTGTTTTTGAAAATGCACAATTTAGTAGTTTATTTTCTGGGTACATAGTGGATGCTACATATCAGATTTATTGTGATCTAAGTTCAGGACACACTGAAAAAAATTTCAAAGAATGTTGATATCTATTAAGGTATATGTGGAAGAGAAGAAAAGTTCCTTTGAAAACTAAAAATGTCTGAATCATCAGCTTTCCTGGTATGTTTTAAGAAAGGAAAATAGTTATGAATGAATTATATACACTCACATATAATTGTACAGGGAATTCCACAGGAGAAAATGATATGCTTTCACTATATGGGGTTGAATTTTCTCTCTGAGACATGTTATTTAAAAATTTGTTTAGAAATAATCTGGTTGGAACAGCTTATTCAGAAAATAATTACTTTAAATTATGATGTTATGTAACTGTTTATTACATAGGGTACACACTGATTTTTGCCGCTTAAAAACCTGAAGAAATTTGAAACAACACTGATAGGTCGGAAGGTGGATAGACAAACAGGTTAATAGACACCTGCACATAGTTGACTGTGTTCATTTCTGTTCTTTTCTTTTTGAAGCGTCTTTATCTAGGCCCAAGTCTCTGCTGGTATCCTCTCCATCTACCAAACTTCTCACTTTGGAGGAAGCCCAGGCAAGAACACAAGCTCAGGTCAATTCTCCAATTGTGACTGAAAATAAATACATTGAAGTAGGAGAAGGACCTGCTGCACTTCAAGGGAAATTTCATACCATAATTGAATTCCCACTTGAAAGGTAAAATTCATGAAACCTGGCATAAAAATAGGCTTCTCATAACCATGTGTCATTAATTCCTTTTAGTTTTCTTTTCTCCCCCCATTACTGGGAATTGGCCCCAAGGCCTCATGAGTGCTAGACAAATGCTCTGTGACTGAGCTCTCCTGATTCCTATTTCAGTTTTAAATTTATATTTTAGTGTTTATATATGAAATTCTGGGCTAGTACAAGAAAAATTTGTTGACTTGAATAAGGGTGCTGTTTAACACTTCATGGGGAATAATAAAAATAATTTTTGTAAAGTATTACAATATCACCTAATTTTGTAAAAGAAGAAAATCTACTGCACAGGGGAAAATGATACACTTTAACTATATGAGATTGATTTTTGCTGAGATACATTATTTAGAAATTTTCTTAGAGGTAACCAATGTTGAAACAGCATATTCAGAAAATAATGCATGGACAGTGACTCACTTGATATTAGTTCTGTTCTCTCTGTTCCTGACTACAGCCTCACATTATCTGGTAGGTGTTAGTAGGCAGATCCTCCAGCCTACCCCACACCTACTAAATCAGAACCTCTGTGATAGGTTCTGTCTTCCATCAAGTCTTCCAGGGTTGCAGAAATTATAGTGTGACCTCTCAAGGTCCCTGTCAGCTCTGACATCTCTGTTTCCCTAAAGAAATGACAAGAACATCATTTGTTTGTCTTCTTTACTAGTTCATAGTTAGAAGACTAATGTATGTAAATGTTATTTTTTTATGTCTCTGCTACTTCTTTGGGAATTACACATGAATGTAAGGATCTTCTCTGCATTAGGTTTTACTAATATACCTTAGAATGTCTTTTCCCCATATTTTAGTACAGTCCTCTAGCTTTCTTTCACCTCCCATAGCGAAAACAAGTAAAAAGTTAAAATATACTGTGAGCATCTTGGTTTTATATTATAGCTCCATAATTTATTCAAAATCTTTTTCACAGAATAGTGATTTTAAAAGTAGATATAAGTATGCATGTAGACTTGAGTTTCAAACCTGATTCCATCACTTACTAGTGTTATAACTTCAAGGAAATTTTTTGAACTTCTTATTCCTTCAGCCATAAAATGAGAATAATAGTACCTGCCACATGTGGTTATTTCTGATTTAAAAGAGGCACTACATATAAGGTAAGGTACTTAGCACAGGCTTGGCATTTAATATATGTTAGTTATTATTAATACTTCTTTTTTTGTCCTTATTCTCTTTACTCACACCTAAAATCAGTTTCTTTAACTCTGTTTTATTTTTGGAGGCTTAATTAATATTAAGTTCATATTCCCAGTTATGCCTTACTCCAAACTTATTTTGCAGATTATGAGGTTGGATCTAAATACAATGTGTATAAAATGATCTTGGTTGTCAGTGTTAAAATCTGCACGTTGCATTTCCATTTCATGCTCTAGCCATACTATGTAGAGTGTGCTGTATGGAAAGTGGAGGTTTGTTCACTATTTCACCTGGGCCTCACCAACTGTTTGGTTCTATCATTTATTCATTTTTTTCTATAAGAAAAAATAGACTCTTGGCTGTCTTAATATTGTCCATTTTTTCTCTCATAGAAAGAGGCCTCAAAATAAGATGAAAAAGTCCCCTGTGGGCAGCTGGCGTTCCTTTTTCAACTTGGGGAAGTCGTCATCTGTCTCTAAGCGGAAGTTGCAGCGCAATGAGAGTGAGCCTTCAGAGATGAAGGCCATAGCTCTGAAAGGTGAGTGCCATGCAGCCCTGTCTTGCTGCTGCAGAGCAGTCTGAATGACAGGTCCCCCATGTCTTTTACTGTCACTATTGTAGTGGCCTTCTGTTGCTCTGGGCATTTACTCCATATATTGTCATCATAGACCTCATTATAATATGTGCACAGGTGGATTGTCTTCATGATGAATTCCTTATTCCCAACTTGAAAAATGATATAAATTTTGCATAACTATGTAGAAGGTCCCAATTTCTTAAGGAAACTGTAAAGATTACAGAATGTGATTGAAAGTCCAAAGCATATTTGTAATATAGCTTGTACATTGTTTTTTTTTTTTTTTTTTGATTTTGGTTTTTGGTTTTTCTCCGGTACCGGGAACTGAACTCACGACCTTGCGCTTGCCAGGCAGGCGCTTTGCCGCTGAGCTAAATCCCCAGCCCCCTGTACATTGTTTATAATATATAGCTTCTCTGTAGCTGGACACAGTGCCCAGCACCCACAATTTAAAATAAGAGAGGTTTAATTTGGCTCATGGTTTGGGGCAGATTTCAATCCATTGTCAGCTGGCTATAGGCAGAAATGGTACAGCCCAAAGGCATGGTGGAACAAAGCTGCTTAGTTCATGGAAATAAAGACTAGGAATAGTGCCAGAGAGGAAGGGGTAAGAGATCAGACATAGATCCCATGCCACATCTTTACAGCCTGCTCTGTGCCCAACCAATCCCCAAGGCAATCTCAAAGCTAATTCAAATTCACACACACACCCTGAGCACCACATCCCACCACTTGTCAACTTGTAACCAAAACACATTTCTTTAAACCACACTTAATCTCCAAATAAAGATAATAGCTGTAATTTCATAATTTTACCTAACATAATACAACTGGAAATGCTGCAGTCCCTTTTCCAAAGTCTCAGTGGTTCTAGCATTTTTCAAAAGTCCAAGTCTAAGTCTGTTCTGAGTCTCAAGTCAAACTCTTATCTATGTACCTTTGTAAAAATTAAAAACAAGTTACATAATCTCAAGGTATGGTTGCAGAGGGTAACATTCCTGTTCTGAAAAGGAGGAACATGAAGTTAGAAAAGAATCAGACCAAAACAAAACTGAAATCTAGCAGGGCAAACATGAAGTCTTATATCTCCATACATAGCATCTAGGGCATGTAATGGTAAAATGTGAGTTCTAAAGGGCTTGGGTGGGCCCATTACTTATAGGCCCATGGCCTTTCTCTTTCGCTGGTTCTATTCATGGCCTGCAGTTTTCCTCAGCAGATTTTCCTGGTATCTTCAACTTCCTGGGGTCTCCACTACACTTTTGGCTTCATCCGCACAGCTTCATGTACTCCATTCAGGGACATCTTGCCAGGAATCCTGTCTGATCTCACAACTCTTGCATTCTTCATGCCAGGAAAGCCAGCATTATGTGGACAGCACCAAAGTATGCTATCGGCACAACCACTGAAGCTCTAGTGGTACAATTGGTTAGCGCATGGTACTCATATATCAGCACAAGCAGTAGCCTGGCTTCTGTGGACCATGCCTGTAGTAGTTTCTGAGTGCTTTGGTGGCTGAGCACAGTGAAATGAATACTGGGGAACAAATACCAATACCCTAGAGGCCCTTCTCAAGTAGGGGTGCCAGGGACTATCTTCTGCAGTGAAAGTTTAATACTTTTACGTCCTTGAGTCTGCAATGAATGTAATCTTGCTGATTCTTTAGATGCCCTTAAGGCATGTCTGTTCTTGTACCACAAAATACAGTGGTATATCGATTTACAGACTTAATTTGTTTTCTGATTTGGGAGAAGATAACTGCGTTTGTGTTTGTGTGGGAAAGATGGCCCTGGTCATGTTTGTCACCCAATGTGGAGAGACAGAGTTTGCGAATGGAAGCAAAATTTTGCCAAATGTTGTTTGTGAACTGAATTGTTGGCAAACAATTTGTAAACTAAGCTATTGCTATATTTGGTTTCTTTTTAAGGGTGCTAATCTTTTGCAGTGATACCTCATTTGGCCCCAGACTTTCACATATGTTCTTCTAGGCCGAAATTTAAGTTTTTCAAATTTTTCTGCTCTGCTTTCTGCTTTTACTTTACATTATAAATCTGGTTAAAAGCAACCATCAGTACATATGCCACAGCCTGAATTTAGGACTGTGTTGTAATTTCCTTCACCAGATTAGTCTCCCACTCTTATTCTCAGTCTCCTGCAAAGTCTCAAGTTATGAGCAAAATATATATAGACAATTTTTTTACTAGAGTATGACACACATGGCCTGTAGTCCAAATGCCAGTGGAGTCTTGGCTCCTATCTGAAACCTCCTAAGCCTAGCATTTACTGTCTACCAGCATTCTGCTCTTTGGGTCTCCAAGCAGAATCATGCCTCAAGCCCTGCTTACTACATTCTAAGGTTTATGTGGTACTCATCTCCAAACCTGCACATGTTCCCACCAGCTTGAACCATCAGTGGTACATACAGTGGTACATACTTTCTCATCAGTCAGCTTGTACCACACAATGGGATTGTCCCATGCAGCCCCAATGGGACAATTATGCATGTATCACTGGTATTTCAGAGCTAACTGGTAGTGAGACATACAAATTATGGCCGTGTTGTGAACATGTTAGGTATAGTCAGGTCAAGCATAGTCGCAATTGCCTCTTTACTCTAGGTACCAATTTTCTATATGAGTGTGTTTTCCTGTTGCTGAACACAATACCCAACACCCACAATTTAAAGGAGAAAGATTTAATTTGGCTCATGGTTTGGGAGGATTTAGTCCATGGTTGGCTGACTCCAAGGCAGAAATGGTATTGCAGAAGAATGTGGCAGAACACAGCTGTTAGCTCATGGCCGATGGGAAGCAGAGCAGGGGAATAGTGCCAGAGAGAAAGGGACAAGGGATCAGATATAGACTCTCAGGCCACACCTACACAACCTACTCCAACAAATTCGGAAGTGCAGCTCAGCAATTCCTGGGACAAATTCCAAGGCCAGTTCAAGTTGACTCTTTGATAAGAGTATTTTATTTGACCAAGTAGATCTATTACTATTGAAAAAAAACTACTCTTTCAAAACTAGTTTAAAACCCATGTTTTGGTAGTAGCAACTTCTGGATCTAAAATGGATAGTAGTACTTTCCTTCTTAGGTAATATTAGTGTGATGTTTCGTTCATTTAACTCACTGATTATGCAATCATGTGTTAGATATATTGATAGCAGGCCCTGCAGAAAGAAAAAATTAAGATAGTACATATGTTTTCAGAGTCTGAATGGGAAGTCATATATATAAGAAAATAAATTTTACTGCACTATGATAGCTTTTGAACTAGTTTCATATAAAGTCAGCTCTTGTGTGGTAGAGGCTGGTAGTCAGGAAAGATAACCTTTCACTTGGGTGTTGAAGGATAAGCAGTGATTGACCTAGTCAACAAGAGACTAAGAATGGTATTTCAGGAGGTGAGGACAGAGTGAGAAGAGAAGCAAGCTGGGGGCTGAATCCTGTGGAAAAGCATTATTTAAGGGAAGAGTCGTCAGAGAGGAGAATGAGAAGAGATAACTAGGACAATAGACAAAGGAGAGAAGAGATGAGTATTGTTTGCAGCAAAGGAGGCCTGCAGTGGAAATGCAGGCACTGTGGTGTACTGCCAGCTGGTGGTAGAGGGAGATGTTCAGCAGTGAGATTCCAAGTATCTAACTAAAGTGACTGTGTGGATTTGTAAGGGTGTGGTAACAGATTACAACAAATCAAGTGGCTTAAAACAACAGAACCTAATGCTCTCACAGCTCTGGAGGCTCACATTAATTTTGGCAGTTGTGAGGCAGGGCTGTGCCCCAGAAAATGAGCCTTCCTTGCCTCTTCCAGTCCCTGACAGCTCCTTACTTTTCTTTTTTTGAGGCAGCATCACTCAGCCTCTGCTTCCATTTCATGGGTCCTTCTCTTCATGTGTCTGTCTTTTCTTCTTCTTTTATGGATACTAGTCATTGATGATGGGGCCACTGTAAGTGCACTGTAGTGTCATATCAGGATTCACGTGGGGGCCAGGCATGGTGATGCACACCCTAATCCTAGCACTCAGGAGGCTGAGGCAGGAGGGTCATTATGAGTTCAAGACGAGCCTGTGCTACATAGTGAATCCCAAGGCCAGCCTGAATTACATAGTGAGGCCCTGTCACACACACAAAAAGGATATGTATTGGTGTTTAGAAAATAAACAGGAAAAAAGTATTTTAGTTCATCTCTCTGCTCAAGTTCATGATCCTTAGAAAAGAGATTTTTCAAATGGGAAACCACTTGAGAACAATGCTGCACTTTATATAATTGGATGGTAAATTGAAAATGTCAAAATATGCAGCTAATCAGTCTTGGGAGTTTAAGCATATTTTAGGAAAAACACTGATCCCTTAACTCCATAATATGTAACAATAATAAAACGTTGTGCTGTTCGTTCTTGGTTCTTTAGGTGGCAGGGCAGAAGGAACCCTCCGCTCAGCTAAAAGTGAGGAGTCTCTTACTTCTCTCCATGCAGTTGATGGTAAGACTAAAAGCATAAATTGCTTTATTCCATGATAGATGGCAAAAGGAATATGAACACAGTAATTAAGTGTACTTTATAAGTAATCTGCTTAATTAATAGGCTAGTCACTATCATTTCTAAGAATATTATTATGTATTTAATACTGTTCAGATTAAAATTCAGTGATGTTTTAATGTGGTTGCAGTATTTTTATCATAACTGCTATTTATTTACATAAAAATGACCAAACTGTTTTAAATCAATCACTTTCATTTATTAGTACCTAGTAAAAACTACTGTTACTACTGTCCCCTTCATTAGATTTCACAATGAGAGGATATTTGTTACAGAGTATAAAAGTAAGCAGTTTTCATGACTGTCTGTTGTCTTGCAAAATTGTTTAACCTGACCTTAAATTTCATAGGTCAGACTGATTACAGGTGGTCTTCATTATCCAAGGATAATTATCACCTGGAGAAGGCAACTTAAAGTGAATCTGCTTAAAATGGGGACCAAAGTTTCATGGTAAATAGTGTGAAAGGTTTGGTTGCAACATAACTTGGAAAACAAACCAAAAATATGAAAAGAGATATTTGTTCTATAAAAGTTGAATTACAGTTGCAACTATGTAGTAATTTTTAGACTAAAGAATTGCATCAGTGTTGATTAGGAAGAAGGTACAATTTTTTTGGACAAACCATGTAAGAACACAACAGAACACCCACCATTTGATGTTTGGTTTGGGCAGCACATTATAAAGGACACTCTTTTTGCAAAAGTGATCAAGAGCTACACTGATTGGTTTTTCCCAAAGACCTTTTAAAATCAATTAATAGTCAAATCATGCTCTTTTGAAGTACTTGGAGTGTCATGATCTTAGTCAGTTTTCTCATGTGCATTTATTATTAGTTCTTCAGACTGCAGATTCTCACTGACCAGTGGCTTTGCTTGTGATTCAGAGCAGTTTGTCTGAACTGCTGACATCCTAGGTATTTGCCAAGATTTTCAATTGAACTACAGTTAAGATAATCTACTGAAACAGTTTAGTGGACAGGGTACATTTTCACTATGGCAATTACAGTAATTCTCATAGAATAGAGGGTTTCTTTTTGTTACTATTTGGGCATAAAATTGTGTAATACTGTCTACCACTCTAGAGGGCTCTGTTTAAGAAACTGAAAGCTATGCTTATTAAAGAAATAAATGAAATCCTTTACTATGTATTTTTTAGAAATAGGGTACTTTAAGGATATTTAACAATCTTCCTGTTATTGAATATGCAAGATGCTATTTAAAGTGATTAGTTCTGCCTCACAAGTCATATGTGAGACCAGTGATACAACACAAAGAAATTTTTTAAAAAGCTGAAAAAGAAAAAAAAATACAAGATAGTCATACTACTAGTTTCTCTTAGTTCATTGAAAAGTTTGTGCTAATATCATTTCGTGAATTTTTTAAGCCCATATCTTGTATGATGATTAACTACTTTAAAGATAGCAATACTCAATGTATTAACTAGTTATTCTCCTATAATTTTGTTATGAAATTTTTTTCCATAAAAAAAAAAACTTACCCAAAGTCACACCAAGAGTCAGTGTTGGATCAGTCACAGAATCTCAAAGTCCTGGGCTGGGGATATAGCTCAGTGACACAAATGCCTGCCTGGCAAGTGCAAGGTCCTGAGTTTGACTCCCAGTACCAAAAAAAAAAAAAAAAGAATCTCAAAGTCCTGAGTCTTTTTTTCTTATTCAGATCATGAAATGCTGCATTTTCTATCTGATTACGTCAGATGTGCTTATCATGTAGCAGTTGATTTGGGGGTTCTGTTATTGTAAGTGTAAATGATTCATGCGCACCCAGAGGCAATTGACAGAAAGAGAATGAGCCATTCTGTTTTCATATCCTAAATAGAAAGTTACTGCTGTACTAAGTAGGTGATTTATCATAATATTGTATATTTGTGACATTCATACAGTGACATTGCTATCCATTTTTGCTAGGTGATTCCAAGCTCTTCCGGCCCAGAAGACCCCGATCTAGCAGTGATGCCCTGTCTGCCTCTTTTAATGGAGAAATGCTGGGAAACCGCTGTAATTCCTATGATAATTTGCCCCATGACAATGAGAGCGAGGAGGAAGTAGGGCTTCTGCACATTCCAGCTCTAATGTCTCCTCCTTCCGCTGAGGATGTTGACTTGAGCCCACCAGACATTGGAGTGGCCAGCCTGGATTTTGATCCAATGTCCTTTCAATGTAGTCCTCCTAAGGCTGAGTCAGAATGTCTGGAAAGTGGTGCTTCCTTTTTAGATTCATTAGGATACTCAAAGGATAAACCATGTGCCAATAAGAAGGACGTAGAAGCAGGTGGTAGCCAGTCTCAGACTCCAGGAAGCACTGCAAGCTCTGAACCAGTTTCTCCGGTTCAGGAAAAGCTGAGTCCATTCTTTACCCTGGACTTGAGCCCACCTGAAGAGAAATCATCTAAGCCATCCTCATTTACTGAAAAGGTCGTCTATGCTCTCTCTCCAAAGATTGGACGGAAGTTAACTAAATCACCTTCCATGAACATATCTGAGCCAATTTCAGTGACCCTTCCATCTCGGGTGTCAGAAGTCATTGGTATCATCTCAAATACCGCAGCTCAGAATGCATCGTCTCCAACCTGGGACAAAAGCATGGAAGACAGTGATGTCACAAATAGATCCCCCACCCAGATAGTAAAGATGAAAGCAAATGAGAGAAGGGCCCAAGAAGGATGTGAACCTGAAATCCAGCCCCTGGACCAGGTGGCTGCTGAAGAAGTAGAATTGCCAGGGAAAGAGGAGCAGTCTGTCCCGAGCAGTCAGAGTAAGGCTGTAGCTTCTGGACAGATTCAGACAGGTACTGTTTGTTTTCCTCCCTTCTTTCTTTAAGTTAAGAGGGATCTTCAATCCTGTGTGCCATCTGTGCCTTCTAACAGAAAATTTGCACCACAGCTAGTCTTTAATCAAAGAGAATGCTACTCTGAGTAGTGCTGATGGCTCAAAGCCCTAAATTAAAATCCGTCAAACAAAACTCCCCAAAGGGCCAACAGTCCTGCTTCAGACTTTCACACAGTTCTCTGTATCTCTTTGGATAGTCAGAATTTGTGGATAATTTTCATACAACTTCATAGCTCTTGGTTCTGTTTTATAATGAATACCATTATGCTAGCCTTACAAGTTAACAAGCCAGCCTACACCACCCCATGTAAAAACTTATATCTAATAACAATCTGGAAGCACTCAAAGCTTTTGTTCTAAGCAGTCTTTTTTGAGCCAGGTGAGGAATCTGCTCCCCTTTCCACTTCTATAGCAATTCAAGAGGCGCTTACAACCTTTAAATAACTATTTTAGTTTACCTTCTAAACCAGTTGTGTTTTCAACAACAGTTGCATGTGGGATAGAAGATCATGGATTGCCATTTGAAATATGGAAGGCATCTGTTTTTTAATGATCATATGGGGAGTGTTTGACTTTCCGTATAGGATAACGTAAGCTACCTTTTCATTCTAATTTTTTTTCCCAATTTCCCACTAGGAGCAGTTACCCATGACCCCCCTCAGGATCCCGTTCCTGTCAGTTCAGTCTCTCTTATCCCACCACCTCCGCCTCCGAAAAATGCCGCCCGAATGTTGGCACTAGCATTAGCTGAGTCTGCACAGCAAGCCTCAACCCAGACACTGAAGAGACCAGGGGCTTCCCAGGCTGGGTATACAAATTATGGAGACATAGTGGCTACTGCTGAAGATAAGCTGCCCAGTCCCTACTCTAGTGTTGCTCTAGATAAGGCCTATTTCCAGATGGATCGACCAGCAGAGCAGTTCCACCTCCAGAACAACACACCAGGGAACAGTGACCAACCTCTCCCAGAGACAGCAGCTACTGGGGATCCTCCCCATTCCCAGACAACAGAATCTGGGGAGCAGCTTCACCAAGTAGACTTACCAGGGAATCAGTCACATCGAAACTATTTATCTGGGGACCCAGAAAAGACCAGAATCACTTCAGCTCCCTTAGCTGACTCAGAAAAGTCTGATGATCTTGAAAGTTTCCCTGAATACCAGGCTGGGAAGCCTAGTACGCTGAGTGTTTCCTTTGCAGAGCAGGACCAGTCTGTGCTCCACTTCTATAGTGGGGATCCGCTTCCCTCCTACCTTGGTGCAAGTGTGGATAAGCCCCATCACCCTTCAGAACTTGCAGGCGAACCTCCCATGCCTTCAAATTTGCCCAGGGACAAAATCTACCTGACTTCTGGGTCCCCTGAAGAGAATACCAGCACAGCTACCCTTGCTTACATGACAGCGACTCCAGCAGCAGCTGAAATGAGCCTCAAGGATGCCAGCAGGGCGGTGGATGAACAGCCTACTGCTGCTGACTTTGCTGCTGCCACCCTCCAGCGCTCCCACAGAACTCATCGTCCCCTCCCTGCACCTCCTTCCCAGAGGCCAGCAGAGCAGCTACCAGTCATGGGGCAGGTACAAGCAGCAACCAGTATAGGAGTAAATAATTCCCACAAGGTAAGAAGGGGAGGAACTCAGCGAGGTGAAATATGCTTTTTTCAAAGGTATGTCATTTTTCGGCAGGGTGTGTTTCTATCTGTGAGTCAGATGCAACATTATTTTTTAAATTGAAATAGTTCCCATTTGAGGTTGGAGTCTACCTGGCTGCTGGTTTTTCACTGTGGAAAGAGTAGTTAATTGACAATGATAGTTTAACCATACCTGCCATCTTTTTCTCATAAGCATCTAGGTCAGTGGTGGCAAACCTATGTCATTCCTGTTACTTGTTTTTTGAGACAAACGATATTAATATATGAGTTGTTTTTCTACATTAAAACCTCAGTATTCAGATTTAATTGCAGTGTTGGCACTTTGCAATAAATAAGTGGCTTTCAAGTTGTAGTTTGGGCACTCAGTCTCTAAAAGGTTCACCATCAAAAGAGTTCCACTATCACTGATCTAGGTCTTTTCTTCAGACTAATGTAATGCAAAGAGATTGTGATTGCATGACACCAGTTGGGCTTTTTAGGTCTCAGGGATGAAGGGTGTTTGTACCTTCCCTCTCTTCCTCTCCCCTCCCCTTCCCTTTCTTCTGTTTCTTTTCTTTCCCACCTCCATCACTGACTTACTGTGACTTTGGGCAAGTTGTTTTACCACCCTCTGACAGTTAATCACATCTGCACAATGAAAATACATCATCCTCAAGACATTTGTAAGACTCTTTGCCTTACAGGCTTTTTAGAAGTGTAAGACATTGCAGGACATCAGGTTTTGTGTTGATTTTTTAACCTTAACCAGCGAATTGTTTCATCACCAAGTACTTGTTTTGATGGGAGAATTTTGTACACAAATCTAAGGGAGTTTTTTTTCTACTTTTCTGACTTTTAGAAAGACACTGCAGGTTTTTTGTGGTCTTCTTAAACCAAGAGGACTTAAATTTCTAGTTCTTCTTGGAGGTTGCTATTTCTAGCAGTTACTTCTCAGGGATGACATCTTTGCAGTCTTGCTGTGAGAATTATATTTGACTTGTGAGTGCACAGATAGAATGGTGTTAAAAGTAGAGAAAGACAATAACCTCTGACCTGAATGTCAACTTGTTGCCCTTCCTTATGTTTGGGGGTTTAAAATTGCTCACTGTATACAATGGTGAGTCACATTAAAATCCTTCCAGATGACAGTCAACTCTTTTCATTGAATAAAATGTTCTTGGTATAAAGGGTAAGCTAGACCAACAGGCTGGGTATTTGTTTTTAAGCTTTACAGTGTTATTTAAATAAACTTTTATTTGAACCAGCATATAAAAGATAATGCCATGGGCAGCCTCCTGTCACATTTCAAATATATCATGTATTAGAAACCTTGATCAGTTCTCCAGAGATGTGATATACCAAACAGCAGCATAGGTCTTCCTTTCCTGGCAAAGGCAGTGGAGAGTTCAAACTGCCACCCAAATATCCTCAGCTGCAAGTAAAAAAATGTAATAGCATTTTACTCCTTGGGAGAGTGTGAGAAAAGGACTCATAACATTGTCATTTTTCAATAGGTTCAAGGAGCAGTTCCAGCTCCAGAGAGGCCACCTGAGCCTCAAGCCATGGATGACCCTGTGCCCGTCTTTGTCAGTGACAGCAGTGCATCTGTTCAGTGTCCCATGGCTGCCACTGCTGCTCTCCAGCCAGGCCTACCGGAGAAGGTTCGAGAAGGCACCAGGGCCCCTCTCCTCCACCTGCGTGCTGAGTCCTTCCCTGGGCACTCCTGTGGCTTTGCAGCTCCAGTGCCCCCTACCAGGACAATGGAGAGTAAGATGGCTGCTGCCATGCACTCCAGCAGCACAGATGCCACCAGCAGCTCCAATTACCACTCCTTTGTCGCTGCTTCATCAGCCTCAGTGGACGATGTGTTGCCTCTGCCACTTCCTATCCCTCAACCCAAGCATGCTTCTCAGAAAATAGCTTACTCCTCCTTTGCCAGGCCTGAGGTTGCTACCGAGCCCTTTGGCCCAGAAAATTGTTTGCATTTCAATATGACTCCAAACTGCCAGTTCCGTCCCCAGAGTGTACCTCCACATCATAATAAATTGGAGCAACAGCAAGTGTATGGTGCCCGATCAGAGCCACCAGCCTCCCTGGGTCCTCGTTATAACACTTACGTGGCTCCTGGAAGAAATGGGTCTGGACACCACTCCAAGCCATGTGGCCGAATTGAGTATGTTTCTTCTCTGAGCTCCTCTGTTAGGAGTGCTTGTTTCCCTGAAGATATTCCACCGTACCCTACCATTCGGAGGGTACAGTCCCTTCATGCACCCCCATCATCCATGATCCGCTCTGTCCCCATTTCTCGGACAGAAGTTCCCCCCGATGATGAAGCAGCCTACTGCCCAAGGCCCCTGTACCAGTATAAGCCATATCAATCCTCCCAGGCCCGCTCAGATTACCACGTAACTCAGCTTCAGCCTTACTTTGAGAATGGACGGGTACATTACCGCTACAGCCCATATTCCAGTTCCTCTAGCTCCTATTACAGTCCTGACGGGGCCCTGTGTGATGTGGATGCCTACAGCACAGTGCAGTTGAGGCCCCTTCACCGCCTGCCCACTCGCGATTTTGCTCTCTACAATTCAAGATTACAAGGCAAGCACTTGTATAGTTACCCTGGTTTGCCTCCACGTCCTCGTACCAGCGGCACTGGCTTTTTCTCTGGTAATGACCATAATGTAGTCAACATGCCTCCGTCTGCTGATATAAAGCACACCTACACCTCGTGGGACCTGGAAGACATGGAGAAATACCGCATGCAGTCCATCCGGAGAGAGAGCCGTGCACGGCAGAAGGTGAAAGGCCCTGTCATGTCTCAATATGATAACATGACCCCAGCCATGCAGGATGACTTGGGGGGGATATATGTCATCCATCTGCGCAGCAAATCCGATCCTGGGAAAACTGGACTTCTCTCAGTGGCAGAGGGAAAGGAGGGGAGACACCCAACCAAAGCTGTCAGTCCCGAGGGAGATGACCGCTTCTGTAGGAAGCACCCAGAGCAGGAGTTCGATAGAGTCCTCCACCACGGGGGCTATGGCAGCACACAGGGGGAGAAGCCATCCCTCCCTCAGAAGCAGAGCAGCCTTAGGAACAGGAAGCTCCATGACATGGGGTGTAGTCTCCCAGAGCATAGGGCGCATCAGGAAGCAAGCCATAGGCAATTGTGTGAATCAAAAAATGGGCCACCTTATGCCCAAGCCACTGGTCAGTTAGATTATGGGCCCAAAGGGATTCCAGACACTTCTGAGCCAGGCAGCTACCATAACTCTGGAGGAAAATATGCCCCAACAGGGCAGGAGTCTTTAAGACTAAACCACAGAGAGGTGAGGCTCTCCAAAGAGCTGGAGCGCCCTCGAGCCAGACAGCTGCCAGCCCCTGACAAACACTCCAGAAACTGCTACAAGGAGGAAGAGCACCTCACCCAGTCAGCGGTCCCACCCCCTAAGCCAGAGAGGAGTCATAGCCTAAAGCTGCACCACACCCAGAACCTGGAGAGGGACCCCAACGTGCTATACCAGTACCAAACACACGGCAAGCGCCAGAGCAATATGACTGTTGTGTCCCAGTATGATAACCTGGAAGATTACCACTCCCTGCCCCAGCACCAGCGAGGCGGCTTCGGAGGGGCAGGCATGGGGACCTATGTGCCCTCTGGCTTTGCCCACCCACAGAGCAGGACATACGCCACAGCACTGGGTCAGGGGGCCTTTCTGCCCACAGAGTTGTCCTTGCAGCACCCTGACACACAGATCCATGCAGAATGAGTCCCGGGAGCAATAGAGTTGAAGCAGCCTCTGCTGGACAGTGGACTGTTCTATTTTTTTCAGTAACCAAAAAGATTTAAAAAAAAAAAGTACAAAATTTCCGAACACATTTAAAAAACAAATGTATTAAAAGTAAACAAATCACCATCTTTTCCTCCCTCCCAAGCTTCATTATCATCCTTCCATCTATAGACTGTCATTTTTGTCTTTAAAAGAGATCTGAATGATTGTAAAGCACTGTGTTGAAAATCTAGTTTAAAAAATCCGTCGCAGACCGCATTTGCCATAGAGGGCTAAGCTGTAAGAGCCTGAGGACTGCCTTTAACTGAATTTGAATTTAACTTTGTCTTTTCTAAGCGTGTGCTACCTAGTTCGAGCAGTTTACATCTCTTTCCTGGTGTTTTTTTTTGTTGTTGTTGTTGTTTTTTTTTTTTTTGGCATTTGTGTTCCTGTTTCCCTGCCAGTGGCTGCACAGCTGGCCCCATTAGAGACTCCATTCTGTTCTCACTTCATTTTCTCTGACCAAGAAAGGGCTTGCAGATTAAATTAGGGTAGAGAAAAATTCCCTTATCCTTCAGATAAGTCACTCACATAATTAGCAGCACTATAATTAAAAAGTAAAGAAACTAAGACTTCAAACATTTCATAATAAATACAGAGTTATAACATATCAGACCATTTAGACTCAGGCAGAACCACACTCTTTACATTCTCATTTCTATACTTGGTCCACACAAGTGAATAAGCTCATATCACTGCAGAGTATTTTTTTAAAGTTAGAATTGAAGGAAATATATTAGGTTAAGACAAAGTGAAATGCTATTGTCAGCAAACTTGGTTAACTCAAGAAAACTGTATAAAGGCTGTTAATGGACTGCCTGTCTGCAGATTTTTCCCTTGAATAATAATTGGTAAATTGTACTTCCAGTACAATGCACTACTTTCCTAAATCAGCAACTTTTTCTCATTAAAAGAAAGCCAGCTTGATTTTACTAGATAAACACACAGTTTCTCATAAATGCAGATTTACATGTTAACTTCTGTTTCTAAACCAGAGTGCAGGTTCCCTGAAGTTCTAAGGTAGTTGTGATCTATCTGTTAGGAAACTGCAAGTTCCCACGATAACCACTGGGTACACAGCCCCATCTCACCGATTGGAGCTCTGGGCAGCTACTGTTTACGTCCTAAGGAGTCGTGCAGTGTTTGCTTCCTTTGTATTTTTGTGATCACAATCTTACTGTAATTGTCATTGACACCAGCATTTCAGTATAGCTCTTTATAACTCTGTAGACATGTTAAACATGTTTAATACCCAGGACTTTCTTTTGAAAGTTGCATTCCTTAAAAGAGTAGGAACAGGACACCTCTCTAACCCAACTACATTCTGTTTCCTCAGCTCCTCCCACCACAGAAACACCAATCTAGAAAGGCAGTCCTGTATTTGTAAAGTGAGATTGTCATTTCATTCCATAACTCATAATAATACTTGAGTTTTATACACTTACATATTTTAAATGCTCAGTTGTAGAAAACAAGAGTTCATTCCATTTACTGGATGGTTGCTCCTCTGGCTTTTTAGAACTTGGAATTATCTTTTATTTAGAGCAAAGGAGGAAATCTTTTAGGAGGCTAAAATGCTGCTATTATTGCTGTGAATTTGTATAAAATTAGAATCCATACCAGTCATTTTTTTATTTAAAAAAAGTCATGTGATTACTTTTTAAGGATTTATATTTAGAAAAAGTTTTAAGAACAAATTTATATATGGAAATACTCTATAAGGTTTTCTTTTGTTCCCAAGAATTGATCAGAGGAATGCAGCAAAGACCAGAGTAGAAATCTTAAAACACCGATTTATGGAAAAGTCTGTGGAAGTTTAGGCCTCATCGTTAAAAGTGCGGATCCAGCCGATGTGGTCAAAACATTAGGAACCTGATAGAATACTTCATCTGGCAGACAAACACATTGGATGATACAGGAGTTGAGCTCTGGTGAATATGCAGCACTATTTTTTTTTAACCTTAATCATCTTTTTATCAAGTAGGCAACCCATTGCCCCTTGGGGACTGTACCAGCCCTGAAATTCTCACCAGCAGCAGTGGAGGTTAGGAAGAAGGGCTGGCATGACACAGCTTCAGTAACTGAGGGCCCCGGACAAAACAGCAGGAGAAGTCCAGGCCAGTTTTAGTATTTGTGGATTTGATCTCACACATTGTTTACTCCAGAAACTAAAATCTATTTTATAAATGCTAAAGTTCATTCCTCAGAATAATTTCTTTATTAATGTCCTATGGGCTTGGAAATAATCAGGTAAATATATTGAGTATAGAATAATGATTCAGATTACTGGTCTAAGTGTGAAAAATAGACTTTAGACCAAGTCTAGAGTTAACATATGTAGCAACAGCCTTAACTTTGGATTCAGCTATTTAACAGACTTTGTCCACATCTTTCCCTTTCTGATACTGTGGAGGTAGAAATTGGATGGCAGATCACTGTGAGCCAGGTTACCTCAGCACTGTCCACCCGGCATGTGGCTTCACAAATGCAGAATTGAATGTTGTTACTTTCAGATGCTGACATGGAGCATTGTGATCAAGGAAATGGAGCTGCCTTATGCATTAACCCATAATTCAATTCAATACTTTCATAGCCTTGTCTCCAGGTTTCATTTTTTTGGCAAAATCCTGATTCCACAGTTAGGTTTGATGAAAATAAATATTCCCTGGATTTCTGGCTAAGAGCTTTGCTAAAAGCCCCAGGGGTGCCATTTTCTTATTAATAAATTTAATCTGAGCCTTATTTCTTAGTGTATTTGATTTACTTTTAAATATATATTCATATGTTTTAAATGCTCAGTTTGAAGAAGTCCCTGGGATGGTCCCAAGGGTCAAACCTGCACATTTCTTACAGTGGCAAAGCATTTTTTAAAAATTTAGGGTCAGGTTGAAAAATTCTAGGACCAATTCTGTAAAGAGGAGGGACTGTGAATGTGAGTGAGGATAGAAGAGTGGTTTGTCATATTTGAAGCAGTAATAAACGCATATGATATAAATTTTGGACTTGCCCCTTAAGTTCAAGAAGGACCGTATAAAGTCCATTTCTCTGTTCCAGCCTTATTGGTCACCCACTCAGAATGTTGGCAGAGTATCTTTCACCTGAGCAGAGGGTGCAAGGAAATAATGAAAGCTGAAGTATGTCAGAAAGTTACTTACAAATGGTTAGAGGCATGTTATCGTCAGTACTGTGTGTTACAGAAATGTCAGGAATGATGTATTTTAACGTGTGCAAGATGATATGTTGGTGTGCACAGAGGGTCTTTTTTCCTTATCTGATTAGTACTGTTAATGTTCAAAGAATAAAAATGGTTGTTTTACAGTTTAGATTCTGAGATAGCAAAACCTGATTTTTCAACCATGACCTGCATGAGAGAAGCATCCTGAAAGTCCTAGATCATACTTTTGAGTTCTCTAATTTATATAGTGTTTTTTTTATGTTTTAATATTTTTGTGAACTGGTGTAAATTGTTAATGCATATAAGCTTGTGTATTTTTGTAAATAGTTTTGTGATTTATTTCTTGCCCCATATGTAAATATTTAGAGCCTCATTTCTTCCAGACTTATTTGAAGCTGAGTTGTGGGTTTTGGGTTTTGTTTCCTTGTTTGATTGGGGGGTGGGTGGGGAAAAGGGATTTTGTACTTGGAGATGGAGATATCTTGTGGTTTAATGCAAATGTCCCACTGAAAGCAACTCAAATATCAACAGAATTATTTCAGGTTAAAACAGATATTTTGTGTATGTGTTTCCTTTTTGACCTACAGTGAATTGTCATGAAATTTATGGGGGCCATTGACTTGGGATATTTGGACTAGAAGACAAGTGCTTGTATGACAGCCTGTTATTGAAGGAAGGGGGTTAAACATTTCACTTCATCTCTCTGCCACAATGTGCTGCCTGGCCAGATTCCCTGTGGCTCAAACCCACATCTCCTCAGGGCCACTGAGGCTCCCTTATCTGTCCTGGAAACCCTAGGCAGATAGAATGTATCTCTGCCCTCTGCTCCTGTGCCTGCCATTGTGCAGCTCCCAGGAAGTTGAATTTGCTTCTTTCAGAATCCTCCAGATGGGGAATCTGAATAAAAACATTTTAAAAGATTTTCACAAAGCAGCATGCATGTCCTGTTTTCTTTTCAGGGTAAAATAACACAAATCATCCCCTAGACTCAGCTACCTGTGGTGAGTTGGCACATGTCATACACAGGGAAAGAGGTATTTCAGTAACACAAGTTGCTATAGATCTGAACCAAGTGTTTGAGTCCTCCAGATGTCCAACAGGCAGTCCAAAGGTTTTTTGTGTGCCAAATTCTCCAGAGAAATATTTTAGTATCAGTCAGAACTTGGAGGGTCCAGGATTGAAGCAGCCACACAACATCTGGTTCAGCAAATGCTCCCAGATCTGTCTATGTGTTCCCATGGAAACCATTCAGATGAGATGAAAGAAAAGGCATGTATGACATTTCCAGTGTGTCCTCTAGTTTTCTGTGGCTTTATTTCACCAAACTTCCTTCATTCTGATAAAAATATAGTACCTACCTCTAGGTACACATACTTGTCACTGAAGACTTGGGGACAAAAACCAGTGGTGGTTTGAGATTTCAGTCATTTATGTTGCTGTAGGAAAAGGAGCATTTTAAAGTGAAACTGACTGCCCATACAGTAAAACTTGCACATCTGGAAACACCAAAAATAAGACTTTTTAATGAGCCCTATGTTCCACATAGTTGAAAACATACCTCTGCAAAATCTGAAGGTTACTTTTTATTTTAAATATTTTAATTAAAATATTTCTAGACTATATTTTAAATCCCCAACTTCACTCCCAATATACTTCAGTATATTTATAGTATACTCCAGTATACTATATTTATATTTACTATAGTATATTTATAGTGATACCCTTCAGGACACACTGAAATAAAGGAATGCTTTTTATTGCAAGTGGTTTTAACACCCTTTTAAAGTTCTTGTGCCTTTTAAGTTTTAAGTTTTTCTGTACCCTTTGCTTTGTGCTGTTATTTCCTGTTACTGTCTACGAGCTACCTATAACCTTCTTTGTCTTTTTGATTCTAACCTTGGAAATCACAGAATTAAGCTTGTCAAAATAGTGAGCAACATGCTCTGAACTGGGGTCCTAAAAGGTCTTCCTGAACAGTATGGACTCTGTTTTTGGTAGTCTGTGAAAAAGCTGTATGATTAGACACTGGCATTTCCTCCTTTTGCTGCAGAAGCCTTACCACCATAAACAAAATGGTAATCCATAGAGGATTTTGGCATCTGTAGTTAAATGAGGAACGTTATGCAGAGCTTACTGCATCAGCTCACAGAATCATTTCTTAACTCCCCAAACTTTTGAAAACATCCTGAAATTTTTCAGTCATTAGTTGATACTTTAAACTCAGTAAATAGTTATCCAGTTTTGGAGTCCATATAAAGCATCTAGAGAGCTAGTTAAATAATATTCTTTGAGCACCCACCAGACAGTCTAACCCACTAGATCTAAGACTGCACTCAAGAATCTACACTGTCAGTGAGAACTCAATAGTCTGGATTCAGATGGTTGAGAAGTACTGATCTAGCCAGTATAGTTAATAAGCTTGTATCTCAGAAGTAGCCCATATCTGGTTATTTAGCCCATACCTGGTTATTCCTATTTGTACATTGGTTCCCCATCACTTTAGTAATACTGGCTCTCATCGTTTGGATCTTGAGCATCCCCCAAAGGCCCATATGTTTGTTAAAAAGCACTGTCAGCCAACTGTGGCGCTATTGGGAGGTGGTGGAAGTTTTTGGATGTGGGGCCTAGTGAATGGAAGTTACATTGCTGATGGATACCCTTGAAGGAGAGAGTGGGGACCTGGCCCTTTCCTCTTTGTTTCCTGGTTGCTGAGGTGAACAGCCTCTGCCCCGCACTCCTGTTACGATGTACTGTGTCACCACAGACCCAGAAGCAACATGATTGATTAACCTTGGACTGAACCGTGAGCCTTTCCTCCTAAATTCATAACCTCAAGTGTGAGACGGAAAGCTAACAAATGTATCATAAATTTCTCTGTCCTCTGCATTTAAATAAATTTTAATCCCAGATTGATTTATAAAAATTACACGCAAAAATTAATAATAACTTGAGCTAAACAGTGTAGAAAACAACTTGCCATTCTCTGAAGAAATGGTTAAAACAACACCAAACAAAGCATTGTTGTCTACGTCTGTCTCCTGTCATATGCTTATATAGCACAGTGAAGTCTCTTTATGATTCCGAGTTGCCACATTATTTTTATTTTTTTATTACTACATGTTTGTGGTACATAATGTTTATATCCCCTGTGTGGAGTTGCTAGATGTACGTAACACCTTAATGTCTTTTTTCATCTCCTTTCCCCTCCCCTCCCCCAGTGAAGTCTTATACATGTGACCCATTCTGGCTGGTTACCAACTACAATTAGTACATATTTGCTTTTTTGGCAGTGAAGTGTTTCAAATACTGTACATGGAAAGCAGAGTTTTGGGAACCAAGATATGTACCTATTTTTAACAGCTAAGGATAAGCAACTTTGCGCTTACTATATGATAGTCTCAGTCACTGTAGCAAGCTCTCTGTTAACTCTTATTCTTTGTGAGCCATCACTTCATAGATGAAACCAGGACAAAAGGGTTAAACACTGCTCACTGTCACACAGCTAGTAATGGGTGTAAGGCTGAGACTGCACTGGCACTCAGTTGTATCATTAAGAATTTAATCAGGGAGGAAATAAATTGAAAGGTATCACATGGTTGCCATATCTTGCAAGAAGAGAATCTTGGTAGGTAGAGCTGCAAGACAATGTAGCAGTTAAGGTGAGACTTCACAGTGAATCTTGGAACACAACCTTTGTTTACCCTGAGGTCTCAGTAAAAATATTTCACAGTTATTCACTTGGAACCTTTATCTAGATAGCACTGATTATGACTGCTGAAAGGTGTCTACGTCCTGTATTCCACCTCTCGGATCTGTGAACTTCGCAGTTCAGGGAAGTGATACCGGGACTGCTGAGCTGTGCCTTGCAGTGGTGTTGCTGTCTACATGAATCCGCTTGTGCTGCTCCAGCTGCTTAGGCACTACACAGTGGCAGGAATGGAAGCAGCATTGTGAATTCTGAAGAATAGTAGGGGGAACAGGTCATTTTTCACAAAACAGTTGCAGAGAAGATGGCTTTAGCTATCCATTTTTGGATGGTAAAACATGGTAAGTTATACAAACTTTTCCATTATTAAACACATACTAACTTTTCCTGATTCAACATCATTTGATTTTTTAATTTTACTTCATTGGTTTTTTAAGACACAGTTTCACTATGTAGTTCAGGTTGGCCTTGAGTCCACAACATTTTAAACAAAACGTTTTTCCAGAGAAGACATTATAGTGATTACACTGATAGTAGCTAATAGCTCCAACAATATACTAATTTACCAGGTACAGGCTAGCCCTAGTGGTTTGCATACATTAATGCTAACACGTTAGTCTTTCTGACAAGTCATGTGAGATAAGTCTTCTTTTATTACTCCTTTACAAATTAAGCGGCTTTGGCCCAGAAAATAAAATTATGTGCCTCAGTCCATACCCCTGAAGTGAAATGGTATTCCAACCCCAGTTCTGACTGCAGAGCCTGCAGTTGGCATCGCTGTCACACTGCTGGTTCACAGGGTCGTCAAAGAACAGGAATCCTGACCCAGGAGTGCCTGGGGGGCTGAGACACTGAGTTGCAGAGCATGGCCCTTCCTTCCTTCCTATTCCTTCCTTCCTGAATAGTCTACTTTGCCCTGTAATAACCAACAAAATCTACCTTAACACACAAACAAGTGCGTTTCCTGCTGTGGACCCAGATGACTCCTGGGTAAGTTCCTCTGTGTGGCATCTCCAGATGGTGTGGCAAGGGAATGGAGCAATTGAGGTTCTGGTATATCATTAAAATGCAGGTCAGAATCAAAGCAAGGCATTTCTGTCTCCAGTGTGCTGTAGTGAGCTTTCCCATTGCTGAAACAAAATACCTGACACCTGCAACTTAAAGGTTTATTTTGGTTCATGATTTCCAGGTTGCGCTCCAGGGTTGGCCAGCTGCAAGGCAGGAGCATCACAGTGGAAAGGCATGTGGACCAAAGCTGCTCACCTCATAGTGTCCAGGAAGCAGAGCATAAGAAAAGAGTGCCCACAAGGAACACTCCAAGGCCTGCACGCAATGACTCACCACCTCCAATGGTCCCCCATCCTAACAGCACATGCAGCTATGAGCATCAGAGAATTAATCTCTGATGAGTCCAGTGCCCCCATGATGCAGTCATCTCTCCACCAGTCTAAATGCAGTGCAGTTGACAAGTTGAATAGGCCCAGTGTGTTGAATAGACCCATCCTCCAGGGCCTGCTGAACCACAGAGAAGCCACCTGATCACCTACACTGGCTGGGTTCCTCAGCAGTACTTCAACTACCCTATAGCCCACACTGCAGTGAAAGACAGGAGATGTGAGAGGGAGGGACAAGCACGAGAGCCAGCCTGTGTGTGCAGAGCTCTCAGAACAGAATTTGGACTTGTTCTGATGGATGCTGAATGATGAAAACAATCAGAAATGCGTGACCACCAAGCAAGGGTATTGTAGGAGGGGATGAAACGTCGTGAGGAACTGGGGCAACCTTTAAAGTTCCTCCTAACCTGAACTTGTGTGATGTTTGTGGGAGCCTGCAGGCTAATGGTCCCATGCATTGAGAAGCCATTTGGGAGCTACCTGCCTGCTGCAAGTGAATGCGCTGTGTCCCCATGAGGAACACTCTTCCCTCTCTCCCTTCTTGGAGTCTGTCCCAAAGACTTCCACTGGCGCATAACTCCAAACTATTCAATCTGACCTGCAGCATCCGCCTTTCAGATTCTCCTTGATCTGGAGGGTTCCCCTCACAGAAGGCTACCTCTTGCCTGAGAGTTCATCATCAGAGACTCCCCCTTAATGACCTAATACAGTACGAGCTAGCCACTTGATCGTCATTCTCTTAATACTATAGATACCACTTCTTAGAAATTATTTATCATAATTTCTTCACCGGTTTGTAAGCTAGTACGAAAGGAGCCACT